CCGGGAGCCTCAGATCGTCCTGGCTCAGAACGTCCTGGCCCCCTCCCGCCCCATCACTGCTCTGCGCCTCCTGCCTTCCCAGCACCGTCCACCCTGCAAAGTCGGTCTCCCCTCGGAGCAGGGGCAGCGTCTGGCTGAGCTCTGCCTGCAACCCGGGCGCCCGCCCCATGGAGCCTCACCCATCAGCCCCCAGTCCGGGGCCTGTTCCCCACCCACTGAGTCAGGCGGGCCCCGCCGCTCTGGCCAAGGCCGCATGAACTAGGCTTCTGCTTGGTTGCGCCCACCCTGACGCCGGAGAGATAAGAGGCTCCGGAGGCGTCCGCGTTTCCGCTGACTCCAGGCTGGCCTTGACGGACGTCATGGAAAAGCCGCCCACATGGGACCCTGGCTCCAAGAGCTGAACGGCCGTTTCGTGAGGCTCCGGGTTTATGATGCCCAGGGGAGAGCAGCGAGGAAGGACAAAGGTCCGACACGTTCACTGGCCTGGCAAGGACCGGTACGAAATGCCCCAAGGAAGCAGGATCTGATAGGGGCATGGGAATGTGATTCCGGCTTCTATTCCCAGCTCCAGGAGGGGAGTGAGGTCTCGTTGGAGCACGGGGGTGGGTGCAGACTTGGACTCAGGACTCCTGGGTTCTATTTCTGGCTCCAGAAAGGGAGCAGGGTCTAGTGGTTAGCGTGATGGAGGTGGGAATTCAGGACTCCTGGGTTTTAATCCCTGCTCTGGTTCACTCTGTGACCGCAGGCAAGTCCCTTCCCCCAACTGTGCCTCAGTTTCCTCATGAATAAAATGGGGAGAACGACACAGCTGCCATGTGGGGCTACGACACTCGGTCCCTGAGTGTGTGTGATCTGCCAGGAGCTAGTCCAGTGGGCGACACGGACTTTACTAATCATCTGGCAGGTAGGGGAGGTGGGCTGGCTGCTTTCCCCAGGCCTGGAGCAGGTCCCGGGTTGGGAGGTGCGCTCTACTTCTAGCAGCAGTGGAGGAAGTAGAGGGATTAAGACAGCGCCTCTCTGAGCTAGGGATGTAAGATTTTAAATGATTAACCACTTCACCGGTGCGCGGATGCTCATCAGTTCCTGTTTCTTTTTAGACTTTACTAGGGAGCGCGGGTGGGCAGCCGGCAGGGCTGAGAGCCTGTGGCAGCTGGGAACACCCAAGGCCGGCAGCCCAGGGGTGGGAGGGTCAGCGTGAGCCGCATCCTGTGGAGCCCCTTTAACCACGTAACTTCTATCAGCCACATGGTCAATATTTTGTATCATTTTTTGACATCCCCACTCTGAGCAGGGCTCCCTCTCCCGCCCACCCCGCACTGCAGATGGGATCGCTCCCTTGGCCTGGACCTAGGCAGGGTCACAGGCAGTAGAGGCAGGGCTCAGATGTCAACGCTGGCCTTCAGATGTGATCCCGCTGCGTGGGCTGACTTTGTGCGCTCAGGAAAAGGAGATCCAGGGCCTCTCTGCTCTCTGGGACACAAGAGAGCCGGAGTCTCCATTTCCTGGCTGTGCCACTGGCCTATTGGGCTCCGTGCCTCAGTATCACCATCTATAACATACTGATCACCTCTGGCAAGTGCTTTGAGATTTACAGATGAGCAGCACAAAGTAATCCACTAAGTCTGACGGTGGTAGCTCCGGTGCATAGGGCCCCTCCCTCCACCACATACCTCCATAAAAATACTGATCCACCGTCTTCAGCCAGCCCACGTCATTGTGCGTGTGAGGGATCAAATGGACATTCAGCATGTCTGGCATACTGATCACCTCTGGCAAGTGCTTTGAGATTTACAGATGAGCAGCACAAAGTAATCCACTAAGTCTGACGGTGGTAGCTCCGGTGCATAGGGCCCCTCCCTCCACCACATACCTCCATAAAAATACTGATCCACCGTCTTCAGCCAGCCCACGTCATTGTGCGTGTGAGGGATCAAATGGACATTCAGCATGTCTGGCTTAGTGGCCGGGCAGGACTATGGGAAGAGAAGGAAGGTCCCGGTGTACAAACAAACACCATTGTAAGGGGGGGG